GTAGCTGCCTGGCAAGAACTGGCTCAGTGGGCTAGGTCTCTGTGCTTGCTGGTTCAAGGCCCGGCTCAGCAGGATCATCACGTGTCCGTGTGCCCTTAAGCAAGCCCCTTAACCCCTGGCTCCAGGGCTGCTGCTTCCCCCCCCCCCAAAAAAAAGCTTGCTCTCACCTATCTGTGTGTATCATGGAGAACAAGATCAGGTAGGTAGAGGAAAGTATTCCAATGAACTCATACTTATGGAAAATAAGGGATTTAATAAAAAAAAAAAGTGCAGAAATTTCCAGAGACCTTTACAGCCAGCATTAGTGTTATCCCCTCCTACTCCACACTGAAACCTCGTGGATTTTCCTTACATTGTGGTGGTAATCTGTAATAATTGCCATTGTAGTTCTGTTTGAATCCAACTGCAGGAATTCTGGGAAGTCGTCCTTAAGAGAACCTGCTCTTATGAGTGTGGTCAAGCTAATTCGGTGTTTAGTGGCTTATATGCTAAATGAAAAACGGAAACACGATCTGTTCCTGCTTTTTAGAGGTTACTGGATTTGTATGGTGTGGAATTTATTTAATTGTCGCTGTTTAGATGGATTAGGCTGGGCATTGGTGTTGATGTTGCACCAGGTAAGGCAAGGAAACGTTTTTTGTTCCGTGCAAATTAATCTTCGTCATTGTATGTCATTTTGCCCTCGTGCTGAAGTGCTGCAGGATTTTTGAGGATGCGTTTTAACTTGCACCTTAAACAACACCTGAAACTCTAGGTAAGGTGACGCTTGATCTCGGTGATTATTTTGATCTGGCAGTCAAGAGCTGAGTTTGAGTCCAAAAACCAGCAGGAGAGTGGGCAAACGGCTCTATTGCGCCCCTTTCAAAATCTCCTTCGCTGGTGCCTTTGGGCCTTGTGCAAATGCCTGATGGAGTTGTGATATTTTCAGTGGCTGCCTCATATATGGGAGATCTGAAAATCCTAAATTTTACATGTGCCCATAATACGTGGTAGCGGGAGAAAAAACAGAAATGAAATGGACGGTTTGCTGTGGATGTTTTGTCTCATGAATTTGTAAAAGTATTATTTGTCTCACTGGCTGTCTTATTTCTTAATGCTTGGACATAACTTTGCAATCCAGAATTATATTACTTGGGAGGGGGGTTAAGTTAATTTTGAATTACAGTGATGTAGTGGGGTAACATCTAAATGACAGCCAGCCCTTTGGTATCTGCTTGAGCAGACTGGCATAGGGGTCTGTTTGGGACTTGTGGGTAGATGAGTAGTTTTGAAGGGAGATTCCAGCGCTGAATAGAGCAACATTGGGCTGAGGGACAAGCTTGCTGGGTTGTTTCTCTGCCGCTCCTGAGGTCTTTGACTGGGCTTTTGCATTTCACAGGCCTCCCAGGCAGTGATTTCAAGAGGAGGTGGATTACAGATTGACCAAGGAATGTGTGCTTAGGAACCGCTTTGCTGCGACAGCCTGGCCAACTCTAGGGCAGCTGGGTTATTCTTCTAGATAAACAAGGATGATGTTTTGATGCTGCTGTTGGAAATTGGTTACTTCTTTTTTTTTTTCCTGCAGTGGTCATTGTAGTTAACATTTCTGTCTCTGCAGCCTTGACAGAGAGGATCTGTTTTGTTTTAAAGGATCATAGGCATTAGAGAGAGAGTATATAAATAATGAATGAAGTCTCCATAACATCAGATATGACAACGACGATGCCACGACATCTTTTGGTACAGGGAGGGACCATCCTGGTCGTGGTGGCGTTCCTGATGGCAGGCACTTGCCCTGTTGCACCTCCTTTCGTTGTACCTGTCTTGATTGCAGCTTTGCAGTAACTGTTATAATCTTCCCTTTACCATAGTGTCTGCAGCTGGGGTTTGTGGTACCTCGAGATGAAACAAAGATGATGTGGATTTACACTGTGTGCAAAGTGGTGGAAAACTGAGTACTTTAGAAGTTGGTGTGATGAGAGAACTTCCATAGACCTCTGTAATTTTCAGCTCACTGTTTTGTCTTGATATCAAAGTTGATCTTAGCTTACCAACTGCTGGGGTTCAACAGTAAGGGGGAATGATGGTTGCTGACAGGTTTTCATGGTATTTGGATCTGTAGGGGTATTTGTGTGAAAACATTGAAGAAGGCATGTTTGTGTCCTTTCCGGACCAATGTTTCAGCCCCTACAACATCCCCTGACTGAATGTAGCTGCCATTTTGAAATATTGGCACACATCTGAAAGTCATTATAGCAGTGTGTGAGTCTCTGACTGATTTGGGGGTTATTTGATGGTTGGAATTAGTCAGGGGCTCTGGTAGAGTCACTCAAGTCCTGTCTGCATCCAAATCATTAGGGGTTGTTTGGATCCTCTAATACTGGGACCTCTGAGTTCCCTGATCAGACTCCTGTGATAGAATATTCCCCCTCAATGTCTTTAATTTTCTTTTCTTTTAGGGACTTGTCTAGCTTTAATTCTCGTTCTGCCTTTAATGTTCTCACATTGTTCATCTCGACATAAACGACTTAAATGCTGCAAGCATGGCAAAATTTATTTAGCATAGCCGTTATTTTCATAATATTGTGCGACCTTTCTGTTTCGTTCCATTACGAACCATCCTCGAACTAAGCCATTACCATGTCTTTCTTCTTTAAAGGTCGTGCACTTTCAGAGCCGGTTTTACATGAACGGGGAAACCCTTTTTATCTAAAGATTTTCTTATAAAAGAAAGGAGGGAAAACTCCAATCTTACGGCACCAGCCTGCCCTCGACATGCAACTGGCGTCGATTAAAATAAGGTTCAGTCAGCAGCGCTCATTTCATGTTTTTCGACGCTGTGGTCTTGCCACGTCATTCATAATCTTAGCGTCATTGCTGTAGGACTTCTTGGACAGAAGATGCACAAGGGAAAGCTAACGTATGTGATTGACGTCACTGGTCTTTGCCAGTATTCGCATCTCACTGGATAGCATACAATGAACCGTTACTCTCCAAGTATGAGACATGGCTTTATTTTCAATGTTTCTGTTCTTTCTGGGATAATATTGAAAGCAGTCATTGTAAAGGAGGATGTGGAATAATCAGATGAGCTGTGGTCGAGATGGGTAATTGAGGTAGCGGGTTGACTGGTCGGCGTGCCGCTTGGACCTAACCTGCAAATGTTTCTCTTTATTGCTTTTCCTAATGATGCTGGTCTGCCTTGTTTCCACTAATGGTGGAAAGAAATTTTACTCTAGAAGTGGGGGTCACCTCTCAACATATAAAAATACAATTCAAAAAACCATATAGCGCTACGACCACTGGGGTTTGTCAGTGGCAGTGAAGCTAGCTATGATTTAGCCTGTTTCTGTAAGCAAAGCAGTGCTTTTGTTTTGTGCTTAATGAAGGCTGTGCTTGACACATGGGTATGGTGCCTTTGGAAGGTCAGGTGGCTTTGTGACTAACCAGAGAAGACCCAGCTTGGGTTTATTGAGGGGGCAATAAGTTCCATAGCTGTGATTGTTTTATATTCTATTACTTCAGTATTTTACAGTCATGCGTGTTGGTTTTAAAGACTCTTATAGAGTGATATAATTAGTGTAGGTCACAAAAAAAAATTGGTGGATTCTGGATTTTTGTCGTCATTTGCTTGCTGTAGGTATTCAAGATTGGAAAATGCTTTGCCTCGCTCAACTTTCTGTTGGGGAGGGGAGTTTGATGCTGAAACATGTTCGGTTTTATTCTGCTCTTGTAAAAACTGCCTGGGAAAATAATTTATCCCCCGTCTCTTCCATGTGTAAAGGAAACAAGCCCCCTTTTTTTTTGTTATAATGGCTTAGCCATCTCTCCAAAGCGAGGTTTATCATGCATGAGTTATCCCCGAGGTGGATCGAGTTACTCAATCGAAAGTAAACTCGAAGCGCATCACGGGCGAGCCAGATAGACCGTGGACCTCTTCAGAAGAAAGAGTCAGTGCCTTAAGAATGGTTCGTACCTCATGGTTCAGTGTGTCCTCCAGGTAGTGGCTGGATTTGTTTATTTTTGAACAAATAAGAAATAAATGTCGAATAAGAGAGCCTAGTGTTGGGTAATGACCACACATGTGATTTATTGTGGGTTGTTATTTTCACTGATGTAATGTCTCCATTGCCCTGGACAAGACGTAGGTTTCTCAGATTTTGCCGACTGTATAGTCTTACCCTATGCTCCGTCACACGCTCCAGCCGAGGCGGGGAAGACTTGCTGAAAGCGTCCCGTGCCGGAAGCAGATTCTGGGTTAAGGCTGCCAGGCGCTGAGCTAAAAGCACCAGGCCAGGCTGGGGAGCTGGCGGCAAATGCTGACAAGCTACTGCATCCGTTCGGGCACCACGTGGACCGGCGTCGCCGTGCTACAGGCCGGATCTCGGCCTGTTTGGAGTGACGATGCTGCAACCTGAAAGAATTTAAAATCAGATGGACAATGGGCAGACGATGTCAGAAGTCTGTGTATGTCATTTGTGGCTGTCAAAGAAAAAAGCCACCTCCCATTTTTTTTTAAAGCTCTTAGCTATGTCATGTCGTGCTGGTTCATGGACAGTGGGTGCGTTTTTATACTGATTGGCTGTGGTGTGTGATGAGCACATTAAAAGGTCACGCATGGAGCATTTGGTCCGATGCGCTGTGATGTCCTGGGCGGTGGAGAGTGGGCCGGCTCCATGATCCCCTCTGGGAAGCTTCTCCTGGAGATGAAGGAGAGGAACTCTGTCAAGATCTATTATTCATGCAAATGGAGCAGTTTTAGCAATATGCAGGGGGATTTCGAGTCAGTGATGGAAACCTCTTGCATGCTGCCAAGAGGAATTAATTTAGAAGCCCCCCCCCCCACACCAACCTTTGGCAGAAGTTTACTTAAAAGGGAAGCTGTGATTTTTTGGTGTCAGAAGATGAGACGGATACACCTAACCCTTCGTTGTTTTGTTGACCAGGAGTCCCTGTGGAGTTCACCGCGTTCTTACCGTGTTTTTGTGTGTGACTGTCTTCTCTTGCGGTTCTGTCCTCAGACACACGCCATGGAGGGAGCCCGCCAACCCGTACTACGTGAACACGGGCTACGCCCTGGCCCCCGCCACCAGCGCCAACGACAGCGAGCAGCAGAGCATGTCCAGCGACGCCGACACCCTCTCGCTGACCGACAGCAGTGTGTGAGTCCTCGCTTGCCCATGTCCCCCCAGGCCTCCTCGGCGTTTCCGAATACGCTCGTCTAGCAGACTCTTGAACTCGGTTGGGGGGTGCCATCGATGGCCGTAGAAATCGGTTCATCGTGTTTCACTCTCCGTCGCCTTTTTCCCCCAGAGAGTGGTTTTAGGAAAGCTAACTTAACCCCCCACCCCACCAATTCATCTCCATGTACAGTCACCCCTTCAGATCGACAAATCCCTCTTTTATGGTTTCTGTTATTCATGAATTACAATAAAACAATTGTAAGGGAAAAATTAACCAGGAATATTTTTGGAGCTTGTCAAAAAATTGCAGAAACTCGCAGAAGAAACATGCGCAGAAATATATCAACAATACTGAAAATGATTTGGAAAACGAGATAGAATAAGTGTTATTTATATATTTGCCTGTGTAAGTGCGTACTGTATCGTAGCTTGGGTATGCCTCGCTTCTTTGCTCTGCGTCCAGCCTCACTCGTGTGTCAGCTGTCTCTGTGGCTGTACAGTCTCACATTTCTCCCACTTTTAAACATTTCAGTGCCATTAATTCAAAATTTTTAGCAATGTGCCCAAGTATCATTCGTGAATTTTCACATTTGCTGGGACCCTCCGCCCCTTCATCCTGGTGAATGTGAACGGAGTGACTGTAATCAGGACGGAGTCACTCAGGGGTGGAATCGAACCCTCGATCTTTTCACCACAATTTCCGCTTCATGATACCATTTCAGGGTCAGACCAGCTGGAAAGGCTGCTTTTCTGTTGGATACTTACCATGTTGCCCTTTAAGCACATTGGGGCCGAGATCTACTCCAGCTTTATGTTCATGTGCACAGATGATACTGTGTTTAAGCACATCTCTGTTCCGTGAGAGTGTAACATCTGCTGCTTCCTGTCACCATCCGGGCTGCCCGACGTCATCACTTATGCTAATTATATAGGTTTATACTGGGTTCTGTGAGGGATCATCGCATATAATTTGGAAGCATGGAGATGTATAATTTTTATATTTCTCTCTTTTAAATGAACTGCTGAAGAGGGATAGGCGTGCATTGTGGATGAAAGCGGGTTGTATTAAATATGGAGAAGGACATACTCACAATAGCCAACAGATATATAAATGTTGGAACTGCTGTTTAAGCTACCAATTATCTGTCCTTATTCATTATATGCGAGGGAAATATTACAGTGTCAGACATCTTAGTCTAAAGAATTATTCTGTTTGCTTGTTTCTAATTAATGTTGAGCTGCAGCCTCTGCTGGAGTCTTGTAATTGTACCCGAGCGGTAAATTACAATCCCCTGAAATATCTGGCTAAAATCTCCGGATGTACATTTCCGAGGCTGTGCCTCAGTACAGTGTGATTGCCTAAGATCAGCACTTTTTTGTCACGTTATGCTTAATAATATTCAGTTTTCTCTAAACTGTGTAAAAAATCATGATTCTGTTAATTAGTGCTTTTGTCTATCACCCCTATTTCCATTATTTCAAAAGTGATGTATAGAGTTGACATTCATATATATGTGTTAAATATAAAAAATATTCACAACGATTTTGTCAAATAATTATTGGTGAAAAAGAATTAAATGTAGAAATTAAAATGTGTATTATGTACTGATAGACAGCTGGCTTTTGCAAGGCTCCCTGGCTCTCTGTTGGGTTCTGGCTGTAATAGCAAGATGCCACCCCCCCCCCCCCCCCCCC